AACTGCACATGCATCTGCCAAGTAGTAAGTTGGAAAATTAGGCAAAAATATGTCACTGAGATAGGTCTGAATTTCCCAGCACAAGAAAGACTGGGAGAGGAGCCCAGTTTTGAAACTGGGGATCAAAAATTGGGTAAACATTCTTGTAGTTTATTTGACAAAACTGTTTTTAAAAATTATAGCTGATTTCAGCCAAAAAAATTCAGATAAAACTCAAACAGAACTCGAGGAACCAAAAAGAAGGCATTTGTAGCATTTTCCAGAGTAAACATAGTGCATTTGTTTCTGAGAAATGAGGCCAATGGGAAGGTACATATTCCTGATCACACAAGGAACAGAGAAACATGAGAATTAAAACAGCTAATGATACAGCCACTGATCACACACAGTATTCCTGCCTATAAACAACGATGTGACTTTAGACATTTCTATACTTTTTAAAAAAGATTTTATTTATTTATTTTGAGAGAGAAAGAGAGACGGTGGGCGTGAGTGGGGGGGGGCAGAGGCAGAGGAGAGGGAGAATCTCAAGCAGACTCCCCACTGAGCTTGGAGCCAGATGGATGGATGGACGTGGGGCTCAATCTCAGGACCCTGAGGTCATGACCTGAGCCGAAATCAGGAGTCAGACACTCAATCCACTGAGCCGCCCAGGGGCCCTTAGACTTTTCTATACTCTAAGCTGACACACATAAGTAAAAAAAGGTGATACTGCAGCCTATCCTACCTCAGAGCAAACCTGTGAAAACAATTGGTGGGATATTAATAGATTCCCTGCAGCAGACATGACTGAGCTTGAATTTAATTTTCTGGCTTGGGCAGGTCTTCCTGAGCTGGAAAGAGGTATCTTCTCTCAACACGCCTATTAGGAGTCTCCACGGCGACCGAGTGTAAAGCCCGGATTGCTGCTTGGCTGCCATTGGCACAGTCACACCTATAGCCAAGCAGCTTTTCTTTCTTAGCGGCCTTTCTTAGTGCTCTCAGTGCCCACAGAGGAAATGCAGCCTGGGGCTTACGTGTAACTTGGAAGCTCGCTTCCAGAGCACAGGACACAGCGGGGCAACGTACACACACAGGCACACCCACGTACGGGCAGTCAGACACACGGATGTATACATATGTCCACTCATGGACACAATAACATACAGATATGTCCACACAATCCTTCGCATGTATACACAGACAAGACAGATGCAGATGGTGAAACACACACACACAGACACACACACCTATCCACACATGCAGACGGAGACAGACACGGATACGTGCATATGCCCACACATGTACACAAAAAGACACACAAATACACACCTACACCCACACACACACACACAGACAAGACAGACACAGTCAGACGGATACACACACATACACCTACAAATGTACTTGTATACAGATGCACACAGATACACACACCCACAGGCTCCTACCCAAAGACAGAGACAGGCACACACAAATCCACATAAACACCCACACTACACACTCTCCCCAGGCACAAGCATTATGGCCAACAGTGTGGGGGTGCATGGCGTGAGAGGAAGCAGCACCCCTACCCTGCCCATACAACACAGAGTCCATCCACTGCAGGCGTTGCCTTCCCAAGGAGGCAGAAAACAGGCCTATTGATATTAACTATTATTATCATTTCTAATGTAACATGCTCTAACTCTAAACAGGATCTTCATGTGTTTGGGGTGTGTGGGTGTTTTCAGAGTTCCACATATAGCAGTTATATTTCAATTCTAAAGATCTAGTTGGCAGCCCTAGGCTCTTGCTGTCTGCATCCAATTTATCAATCTTCAGGGAAGCTGATGACAGTCAAGCTCTCCCCTCTGCCCCAGATTAAGACACTTGCCAAGCTGACAATGGGCACGGCTGCATCTCTCTATCTAGACTCCCTGCTGGATTCACGTCAAAGGCCACATATCTGAAAATTCAAAATCTTTCCCAATGACAAGTATTAGACACAGCTGTCCAGAAAAGGGCTGTCCAGCAGATAGGAGGCAAACCCCAATAAACAGCCAAGGCTGCAGTTAGGGGGTCCCAGCATCCCCCTTTTGGAGTGTCCTCTCCTTTCTGCCTCTCTTCCTGGACCAAAGATACTGCTACTTTCCTCTGTACTTTCAATTACAGTGGTTCCCCCTTATCTGTGGGGGACATATTCCAGGACCCCCAGTGGATGCCTGAAACCTCACATAGTACCAAACCCTATACATACTACATCTTCTTCCTATACATATATACCTACAGATAAAGTTTAATTTATAAATTAGTCACAGAAGAAATTAACAATAATAAATAAGAATAAATTAGAACAATGATCACAATATACTGCAATAAAAGTTATGTGAATGCAGTCTCTCTCACAATATCTAACTGTACTGTGTACACCCTTCTTCTGATGATGATGATGATGAAGAGACGGTGGCATGCCTACCTGTTGATGAGCCACAACTGACCCCAGGAAACTGAAACCATGGACAGTGGAAGTCAGGAGACCCAGATCTAAACGTACAGTTGTTTTCTATCAGTGTGTTTGCTTATGCAGTAGAAAGATAGCTGGGCATTTCAGAACTCCTAGGCATCCTGTAAGATTCAGTTTCTCTTCTTCAAGAAACCTTCCTTAACTACTCCGCAACAACCCCATCCCCATTGTCCAGCTTAGATAGCCCTTTCCTGGGTACTGCCAGCACCCTCCATGGACTTCCACTGTTGCCCTTAACTCATTGTTTTACATCTCTTTATGTGGCCATGTTTTCCATCACACTGCAAATTCTTCATGGGTATGCTCAATTTGTCATTTCAGGACCACGCACATACAAAATAGATACTCAATAAAAATGTGGTAAGAAAAATTCTCAATTAAGGTTCCATATTTATCACTGGGATTGTCAGGCACTCGTGTGGCTTTATGGGAATTCCCATGAAGGTAATCTATCTCTGATAATGCATTAACAGAAAGTAAATGTGACATGAAGTTGAGGTGGCAAGTTCTCAGCCTTGAGCACACAAGGGTGGCTCATAACTGTCTGATAGAATTAACCCTCGAGGAGATATTTTCATCATGATATAATGTTTGCCATTTGAAATTCTTCAATTGTATTCATTGCTCTTCATTACTATTTGTTCTTTGAGGACCATAAAAACTTTCTTGCTCAGGGGAATCAACATGTTTCAGAGACATTTGTTATTTTCATTACTGAAGAATTTTAAAATAGAGAATGCTAAGTATTTTTTTAAATTTTTTATTGTTATGTTAATCACCATACATTATTACATCATTAGTTTTAGATGTAGTGTCCCATGATTCACTGTTTGTGCATAATACCCAGTGCTCCATGCAGAACGTGCCCTCTTTAATACCCATCACCAGGCTAACCCATCCTCCCACCCCGTCCCCTGAATGCTAAGTATTTTTAATCAGCTGAAACCTATCATACACCATCTGATCACACAATGCTTCTTTGACATTCCTGAGAAATATGTTCAGAACTCCAGTTACATGAGGGGGGTAGGAGTGGAGCCATCAGATAGGTTATTCACTAGTAAAATGACTCCCATGTATGAATCTTGTACCAAGGCAATCTAAATTTGGCCAGGTAAATCATGTTTGATCTTCAGAGCAATGTGATGGAGACAAGTATTAACCCCATTCAAAATTGTCATTTATCTTAGACCTCTGAGCCCCTCACAAATAATTTTAATCACAAATGCTAAAACAGCAAATGTGGAGACTCTACAGGTCTGACAATGGCAAAACTCAAGAGCTGTTGAATGCTTTAAGAATTTTCTGCAGTGTAGGGGTACCTGGGTGGTTCAGTTGGTTAAGCGTCAGACTCTTAGTTTCAGCTCAGGTCAAAATCTCAGGGCCGGGGCGCCTGGGTGGCTCAGTTGTTAAGTGTCTGCCTTCGGCTCAGGTCATGATTCCAGGGTCCTGGGATCGAGCCCCACATTGGGCTCCTTGCTAAGCGGGAGGCCTACTTCTCCCTCTCCCACTCCCCCTGCTTGTGTTGCCTCTCTCACTGTGTCTCTCTCTGTCAAATAAATAAATAAAATCTTAAAAAAAAAATTTCTGCAGTGTAATGCCTTTGTTGTTTACCATAGAAAATGAAACAGGTGTTTTTAATGGAGTAAATCAGAGGGCCAGGTTTATTTAAAATATCACAGAACTTTTAATCCAAGTTAATACTACCAATGGTGAAGCTAATTAGGATTACAATTAGCCTTACAATTTTACAGATTTTACAATTTAAAAATTTTACAATTTGGCCTTGTCAAAGACCAATGTCTTCTGCAAGAGGCACTGCCACATGCAATAATAATCAGTAGCTGAAGGCTGAGGAAAATTCTGTGTTCCTATACTGATATTCTATACTTCTGGTTTTTGAGTTCTGAACTAGATCTTTTGCATCATTTTTTCAGTTTTGTTTTGCTTTTAATCAGTAGTCTTAAACTCCTCACAAACTAGGTCATGAGCTTAAAATTCCTTATCTCCTCATAAAAATTATGATCAGTGTATTTTGTTGTGTGTAAATTATACCTCAATTAAAAACAGAGCTCCTTATCTCACAAGAACAAAAAACTATGTTTCTAGGTTAAGTGGAGTGAGATACTGCAGCTCCAAGTGCGTTTGTTTGTTTGTTTTAGTATAAACATGAATAAATAAATTCATAGCTCTATTTAGAAATGTGAACTACACGCTGCTTATATGTTTTCAATTGTTCAAAGGGAAACAAGGGAAACAATGGGAAGGGACAGGATCTAGCACTGACATTTCATTCATGGTTTGTGTTAGGCAATTGCTAGAAAGGAGGAGGGTTTAAGAGCGTGAAAATCATGAATAAATCTTTTCCAATTGGAAAGAAACCATTATAGCCTTTTACGGAGATCTGGGGAGTATCCAATAACATAAACTTTCTTCATCATGTATGGTTATGACCAGAAATGGGAAAGGAAGTGTGTGTGTGTGTGTGTGTGTGTGTGTTTTAAGAGAAAGTGGAAAAAGGAGATGGAGGAAGGGATTGGCTTAGATGACTGGTAAGATCCCTCCCAAGTTATAAATTCTGTGTGTCCTATGAGAGGTAGACATGTCAAAGGAAAAAAAAAGCTAAACAAATAAAAAGAAAACACCGAATAAGCTGCAAATGGTGGAGAGGAGGAGAAAAATGATCATCTCTTGAGTGTTTACTATGAGCCAGATGAACCCTCCTGGTAACCTTACCAGGTAAGTACAATTTTTCCTAAGTTACAAATGAAGAAATTACTATTCAAAGAGATTTAATAACTTAGCCAAGTTCATCCGGTGAGAGGAAAGGCTGGGGGTTTCAGTCTGACATTTGGCTGACTCCAAAGCCTGTCCTCTTCCCACAGCCCATTTGGCTTTGAACCCCAAAGCCATCCTCAGATACGGGAAGCAAGTCCAGCCTGTCCACTGATTAAATTGTTATGTAGCCGAAATGCACTCTGCTGGTGGATGAGATACAGTGGGCTGAGGTTGCCAGGTAAGACTGCCATGGTGTTTTAGGAATATCTCAGCTCTGTGGGTCTCTCGCATGGGGCATCACTGCTTCAATTTGCCAACTGAATGGAGATATGGCTGTTCTTTAATCCAGAGAGATGCAACTCCAGAATAGGAGCTCTTTATAAATTAGTCTTGTCCCATTATTTTATATGGACCACCTGCTTAGGCTAGCACTTAATATCTGGAAAATAGACACGTGATGTGCACTAGCCACAATATTTTACCTTGGGAATAAAAATTTATACACAAATACTCTTTTCTCTCTGTTTAATGTAAGCATTTAAATGCTCTGTTGAAACTTCCCTTCTCAGTAAGAAAAGCTAGAGAAGGCCGGAGAACATTCACATTCCAAGGACCGCAGAGCGCCCATGAACCAACAGCACAGTTGGAAATCAGCCAGATGGGACAAAGGTCTTAAACACTAAGTCCACACATATTCTATTACTTGTCATCACAACCACACGGTTTTTTCTTTTTCATACACAATTCTTTACCCCATAACATTTTCTGTTAACTTACCAATAATGTAATTTTATCATGACCTCTCAACCCTGTAACATATTGGCAACAGCAAATTACATTTTTCACTGAAGTAATGTAACACTTGCTATAGGATTCTGATTTTGCTCAAGTAGAGCGGTACATAAATTCACAAGCTTTGTGTTAATTATTCTATTATTATATAGAACATTCATTCATTTATTCATTCACTCAACAAATATTATTCAAAATTCTAGTCTGAGCAAGTCTCAGTCCTGACACCAGGGATACAGCAGCGAATAAAGCAAAGTCCATGGATTTCACATGCTAGTGAGGAGCTAGACAATAAAGAAATAAATATATGCATAATAAAATACCAAGCGGTTGTTAAGTGCTATGAAGAAATATCAATTAAGGTAAGGCTATGCAGGGTGATAAAGGGGGTTATTTTAGACTGTCAGGAATGAATGAAATGGTTTGTCCAACAACAAAGTATCTTCTAAATCAAAAGATTTAGGAGAAGGGGCGTTTGAGTACAGACCTAAATCAAAATATGGGAATAATCCCTGCAACTCTCAGGAGGAAGAGCATTTCATTCCAGGCAGAAAAACAGCAACTACAAAGGCTTGAGGCTTTTCGTTAGAAGGTTTTTGGGCTGACATTCTCCTGTGATTGCAGATAATAAAACTGCCTATTAGAGTTCTGAGCCAAAGTCAACAGAAAGCCTCATTTTTCCCCTCAGTAAATACATGTACAGAGGTATATAAAAATGTATACATTTATAATAGTGTTACAATTTGAGGGACTACAACACAAGACATTATATTAGTCAGGATTCTCCAAAGAAACAGAACCAATAGGATGTGCATATATCCAGAAAGAGATTTATTACAAGGAATTGGCTCATGCAGTTATGAGGGCTGGCCAATCCAAATCTGCAGTGTGGGCTGGCAGGCCTGAGACCCAGGAGACCTGATGCCATAGCTCCAGTCTGAGGGCCAGCAGGTAGAGATCCAGAAAAGTCAGTGTGCAGATGGGGTCCCAAGACAGTCTGCTGAAGATTTCCCTCTTGCTTGGGGAGGCAAGTCTTTTTGTTCTATTTAAGCTATCAAGTGATTAGATGAGGCCCACCTGCATTGCAGAGGACAATCTGCTTTAGCCAGAGTTCACTTAATTAAATGTGAATTTCATCTCAGAACACATTCCAAGTTGACACATAAAATCAACCATCACAGGCAGTGTGGTTACTAAGGCAACAGGAAACTGTTGTGGGAGGGCAGGGTAAGCTGACATCAGGCATTTGTGCAGAGGGATATCCACTTAGCTACAAACACTCACCCGGGAGAATATGGCTGGGTTTTCAGTCCCACTTTCACAGCATTAAATGCTAGGTATTCACTTAAATGGGCAGAGTTGGAAAATCTAAGCAGCGACATTGCTCTAAGAGAGATGTGTTCATATGACAGGACCAAAGTCAGCTTGACTAAGGGTCAAGTAGAAGATTGGGTAAAGTACCAGGAACCCCATCACACTCACCAGGCGTCAGGGAAGACTATGACATGGGGTGAGCACCAGACAGGGCACTGGACAGGCGAACTCATGAGAACTAAAGAGAGAAAACCTAAGTTAAAGCCAGTCCCGTGCTCAGAGCCAATCCAGAGCTGAGAGGGAAGGAGAGGGTAGATAAGCACTGAGGGGCTCCTCAGAGGTCGCAGCCTGGCACCTCATTCACCACAACTTGGTCCTGCTCGGAGATGTGTGTGGCTCAGGTAAGGTCTGAATTATGGCATCCAAGGTTCCTAGTTCTGGGTTATGGAATCCTAGGTGGAGTTTACAGTGAAGTTAGCTTTGATGAAGTGGAGAAAACAGAGGTAGATAAAATGAGGACACAGATCTGTGGAAATTAGAAGCTGGCATTAACAGTTTTGTTCCTGTGGATAAGTAGCCTTCTAACATTGCCTAGTACTGCTTTAGGAAAACATTTGTCCACCAAAATCTTCTGAGTCATACTCACTCAAAGGAATACTTCTCATTCATCTGTCACTGCATTCTGACACACAGAAAGTGGTGCCTTCATTCCATAATCTCAAATCAACAAAAAGAAAGGGCCAAAAATTCCAGTTTCTCTCACTGAGTGAAGATCCAAATAGTTTAGAGCAGCATTTCCTAAAAACAGGTAAGAATTCACTGTGCTTTATCAAATTTGCAGAGAAATTCTTGGCTTATTTCAAGGCCACATTATATGAAAGGAAAGATAAATCTAGCAAGCATCTATTTTAGCAGCTAAGAAAGATGTGAGAGATTTATTTGTATAACAGAGCTTTTGGGGGAGCTACTATTAATAGTGTAGCCGATTCCTGTTATCAATCAATGTATTCATCCAAAAGCAAAGTATCTTCTAAATCAAAATGTAGTGTATCTCTTTGGACAAGATCCACTTTCCTACTTCCAAGTTCACAGTGATAAAGCATGATGGATTATTTAGCTTCTTAAGAAGTGTTCAAAAGCTTTTTTTAGAGAAAACTCACTTAATGGAATAGTCCCCTTTCTCCACTTTTAAGTGTGCAAACACCTACCTTCTATAACTTAAGTGGGGAAATGTTAACAGGCTAATAAAATATAAAGGTCCTATGTTTTTAAATTGTTCAAATATCTGTGTTTTTCTGAATTCAGACTCTCAGACAAGAAGTTTGATATGATTCATATGAAGCTCGAAATTACATTAAAGGTAAGAGTGAAGCCCCCCCACATTAATTCCTTTAAGAATTTTAAGTGTCAGGAATGAATGAAATGGTTTGTCCAACAACTCTTGGCTTCAATTACTCCTACATGAAGACATTATCATAATGAAGACCTAAATCTATGGGAGACAGAAGACTAGAGTTCACTGACCAAAGTCACTCAAATCAAGAAAGGATGGTGATCAACTGGAATGGAGAGGAAATCACAGCGTTTCTCCCAGTGGATTGCTTTTTGATACTGAATTCCAAATTCCTCCTGTTGTGAACTAAGTTAAGCTGGTTTGATTATCTAAAAACAGCCAAAGCCTTTGTAAAAGCCTCTGGCAATAAAAGCCAGATGGGATGTAACAATGAAAGCAAGTCTTAGACAAGATTCTGCTGGAATGCAAACATTTATGGGCAACTAGATAGAGTCCTTCACCACTTGTTCTTGGAAGCTCAGAGTTCCCCTCTGTCTTCAGGTCTTTTAGGAGAATCTTGCATGAGAGATTTACTCTGAGGAGGATGTCCAGTACTGCAAGGAAGCATCATCTTACCTTCTAGTCTTTTCTGCAGGGAAACACACCCAAACAGAGCTCAGTTCTAGCTCTATAAGGCTGCTGGGCCTGCCAGCGTTGGACCTTTTTCATTTAAGACCAATAGTGCCCATACACTCCTTCTGGCCAACCCCTTAGTTTGACCAGTAATTATTTCAATGATATAAGATTATTTTCTAACAATTCTCATGCTGAAAAACAAAGCCCTGATATGAATTTTGACACAATATTGGAAGTGTTTGTATAGACTCTGTAATAGTTTTCTGTATCAACTTGGCTAGGCTATAGTGTCCAATTGTTAGGTTAAACACCAGTCTAGATGTTGCTGTGAAGTTATTTTTTTATATGTGATTAACATTTATAATCAGCAGGCTTTAAGTAAAGGACGTTACCCTCCATGATGTAGGTGGGTCTCATCCAATCAGCTCAAGCTCTTAAAAGCAAAGACTGAGCTTTCCCAAGGAAGAAATAATTCTTCCTCAAGACTCCAACATAGAAACCCTGCTGTTTGAGTTTTTGGTCTGCCCTACAAATTTGAAACTTGCCAGCCGCCATGAGCACCACGAGTCAAAATAAAATAAATCTCTTTCACACACACACACACACACACACACACACACACACACACACACACTGTTTGTTTTTTGGGAGAACCCAGGCTAACAAAAGATCTCTAAGGAACACAGATTCCTGATTTGGGTACTTCAAGTGCTAACTAACCACTTGTAAAGTGTACATTACAGGTCACTTAATCTCACACACATTCAAAGTAGATTACCACCTAGACAATATGTCACCTTGTTCTGTGGGTCTCTTCCCTCATGTACCTTCTATTTATTTTTTCCCTCATTTGAAATTATCAGTTAAGTAGACACAGAGATAACTTCTCTCCAGTACACTTTTCCAGTAATGTTTATGTAGCTCCCAAAAGCTTCATTCAAGACCTTGAGAACTTACTACAGTAACTATAAGTATGTGAAGAGTTACATAGGGTGATAGTTTTGCTTTCCATGGGTAAGCTGTCATGCAATGTAGTAGTGAGTAAGCTAGCTATTCTAGGTGAAATTCTCCTCCCCAAATTATACCATCTCCTGAATGTACTCACTGCTCATTCATTAGAAGCCTTCAGAGCTGCAATCCTCACTATAGCAAAACCCAACATGCACATTTATAGCCTCTGCCTCTACTGTTAGGATCACAAATAATATGTTCAGAAGTCAGAGTAAGGAGGAAGGTTCCATGAATCTGTGTCTGGTTCTGAACACCCATTGTTTTCACTCCACTGTGGCTCACTGGACAACATGTAAAACTGTGAAAGAAATTATTCCAAAGGAATCCATATTTAGGTGGTTTTTAAAAAGGGACATCTCCTCGAAGTACTTTGTCATTGTTTTCAAAAGTAGGAATGTGGCAAGTGAGAATTTTTTTCAACATTACTTGAAAGTCCACCTAATTTATCTACACCTTTCAAATATGTGGGTGAACATATCTCTAAGAAAGTAACACAGAATACCAGTCCTTTAAAAACCTCTGAAAAAGGGGTTATATATGATTAAATAAAGTTTAGAGATGCTTTTTACTATACATGTCCCTACCTCCACCAGAAATTCACAAAGCGTAGAGCAAAGGCCATGAAGCCCTTCAGTAGAGAATTTTGCTTAATTTTGTTAAACTTAGTGTTTCTGAAATGCATTTGATAACAGAATCTTTACTTTGAGTAACTTTCCTTAACAGTCCATGAAATGTTGGAATGTACTTTGAAAAATGTGGACATAAACTATTCCAGACAGAATGAGGTTAAAAAGAAAAGTTTCCACATTAGGAGATTCTGTTAACTTCTCTCAAGAAGTCATCTCAGTGTCTGGCAAACAGAAAATCTTTCTGTATCTGAGATAAATCCTTCATGATACATTTTAAACACTCCCTGCTATTGTGTACTCTGTGGAGAAGAACAGCTGGTCACCATTTTCCACGTGAGAAATCATTTTTCATTTAGAGACATTTATTAGGACATCTATCTACCTTCTTTGCCACAAGAATAAGTACAATGATTAAATCTTTCTTAGATATTCATCTTCTACAAGTGTTAACTATCTTTGTGGCTCGACTTGAAATCATCTACTTTCTCCATTACATTTTTAAGTTAGAAAGACCATATATGTAGTTACTCTATTAGAAATATGACCTGGACTTAGTACCATGGTGCTTACAGATTACTGTGGAGTAGTACCTTGTGTGGGAATTGGGTCGAAAAGTCAGCGGGTTATACCAAATAAAGTAGTTGGCTTCTCAGAGGCCATGTTGTATGAAAAAATGCCTATCTTTCAACACTAGAATCCCGTTTGCCACAGCAAGATGCTCACACCACGAGGGCTCACAGGAACTGGAACCGGAACTGACTAAGAGAAGAACAAATCCATATCTCTCATCTGCTCTCTCCTGGGACTGCTCCCAGTGGGAGCAAAACTAAGAATTTTATCCACACTATTAAAGTCGTTATTTTCTCTCTTTTCATTTTTTTGCTTTTGATTTTTTAAATCGATCTAGTATAGTTGAATTTGTGTAAATGTACCTATGATGCAAATAACTATATGTCAAAATGCATTTGATTATCATTGTGGTTAAGTTTTAAAAAAAATCTATTTAGTATAGTTCAGGTACAAGGAAGAAGAGTCTTTATTTATTATTTGTTTTATTTTGTTTCAATGAACATTCAATAAACAATTACTATAGGCAAAGAGAGGTGGAACCATTGGGCAAAAAAAAGTAACTCTGATCCAACCTCTGGCCTCAGACTTCATATTCGATGGAGATAAGGATAAACAAAACCAAAATCAAAATAAGACTGTATTAAGTATCATAATTGTATAGGAAGTGAAGAAATTCATTCTGCTTAAATCATGGAAGAATGTTGCCCCAAGAAGTGCCCTTTGAATCAGGTCTTGCACAACAAGCAGGATTTTATTAAATATAGAAAAGTGCGTGTGTGTGTGTAAATGTATAGTTGGGGGGGGCAGTTTTATGCCAATGGATCAAAAGACAAGTAGATATGCAATTAGTATTCTGTGTCAGAAAGAGCCCATAATCTGGAACTTTGCTCCTTGTGTTGCTGGGAGGTTGGATAAATAAGGGAACAACAAAAAAAATTAAAAAATAAAAAATAAGGGGAAACAACAAGAACTGAAGTGGGAAAGATGGCTGGAGCCAGATTGGGAAAGACCCTGAATGCCCCACTAAGGAATATGGACTTAATGGAGAACAAAGAGACCATGATGAATTCTTGATAGGGGAGTAACATGTTTAGATCAATCCACGGTGGAATGAATGAAATGGAAGTAGGGCAAACCAAGCTCCTCAAGGCAGCTAGTAGGTCTTATTCTTTCTCTTTGCCCCACTCAGCATAATATTTGGTATTTTGTCTTATACTTTACCACTGTGTTTTTCTTGCAAAGGCATTGCCCTGCATATATATATATATATATATATATATATATATATATATATATATATATATATATATATCTCCCTCTTACTACCATAAAAGCTATTCTGCTTCACTCAAATACTTTGCTAGTTTCACAGGAATTTTTCATTGCCATCAAGTTCTCTGGGAGGATCCCCATACAGTGCAGTATATATAGCTATATACGTAGCTGCTAACTGTGACTAGTCATGCTACTCCAACACCAGGCCCCTGCCTATGAGAGACACAGAAAGGACAAGTGGCACATGAATGATGAAGGGAAATAATGGACAGGAACCTTCCACTACACTTCTTTTGTGTGAGTCTTCTTGGAAACTTTCCCATTCTCAGCATTAGTACTCCTAGTAATACAGGGCTATTGATCATTCATTTGTCCAAGCAATATGCTTCTGACACTAAATAAATACAGGTTTTATTCTAGGCTCTCTGGGCTATATCAACAAGCAAAACAGGGGAAGATTCCATGCTAACATTCTACTTGGGAAGGGAGATCATCAGGGAAACAGATAATAAGCAATAAATAGAAATAAACTGTACATCATATTAGAAGGTAATAAGTGCTATGAAAAAAATTAGCGATTGAACAGATAAAGAGTACCTGGAGGGTATCATGGGCCAGGATGAGCTGCAATTAAATGTGATGAGTCAACCTGCTCAACATCATTAATTATAATGAAAATCAAAATTAAAGTCACCATGAGATACTACTTCATGCTTACTAAATTGGCTAAAATGAAAATGACTGATAAGAGCAAATATTGATTAGGAAACGAGAACTCTCATGTTGCTATCGAAATGTAAAAGGGACAACGACTATAAAACTGTTTCAGGTAATGATAGTGCCTGGAACTAGAATGGTAGTGGTAGAGGTTAAAAGATTGAATGCAGGGGCTCCTGGGTGGCTCAGTCAGTTAAGTCTCTGCCTTCGGCTCAGGTAATGATCCCAGGGTCCTGGGATCCAGCCCCACATCAGGCTCCCTGCTCAGCGGGGAGCCTGCTTCTCCTTCTCCCTCTGCAGCTCCCCTTGCTTGTGTTCTCTCTCTGTCAAATAAATAAATAAAATCTTAAAAAAAAAAAAAGATTGAATGCATTTTAAGGAAAGAGCCAACAGGCTTTATGATGGACTAAATATATTATGTATTAAAGAGGAGTCTCTGGCAATCCAAGATTTTTGGTCTGAAAAACTGGAACAGTAGGCTTGATGATTAATAGATAGGAAAGATTTCAGGAAGTGAAAGTTGAGGTGGTAGAAATCAGAAATTCTGTTCTGGACATATTAAATTTGAGATGCATATTTTTATAACCAGTAGGAGACATAATTTAGACAATTTTACATGACTTGGAAGTTTGGAGAAGTCCAAGCAGAAGACCTAAATATTGAGGTTGACACTCTCCAGATGGTATTGAAAGCCAAGAGATGAGGATGAGATCACTGTAGAAATAAAGATAAAGATAATTCATAGGTTAGAAGAAGTCCATGGATGAGCCTTGGAGTATTACAACATTTAGAAGTAAGGGAAATGAGGAAGTGACTGAGAAAAGGTGTCCAGTGAGGCAAAAGGAAACTCTAAATAAGTGAGGACAAATGAAGAGAGTGTTTCAAGGAGGAAGAAAAAATGAACACAGTTGAATGAGCTGAAAGGTCAAGATGAGGCTGAGAACTGACCACTGCATTTGAAAATGTGATTTTTGATCACCTCAGTAAGAGTCACTTTCATGGTATGGTAAAAACAGAAGCCTACCTGGAAAGCATTCAAGAAAGAAGAGAGGTATAAAGGCAATGTGTGTCTATAATGATTATGAATTTTTTTCAATGAAAAGGGAATTTAGAAATGAGGCAGTAGTTGAAAGGAAATGTGAGATCAAGGGAGGGTTTGAATAGATGGATGGATGGAAAGTCACCTCAAATGGGAAAAAAAAAAACACCTTCAAATCACCCTTCCAATGGGGGTTCCATTGCCTCATACCATGATGAAAAGATATATCATTGTTTTGGTCATTATTAGGCAAGTCAGATCTCCTCCTGTACCCCCAACCCCACTCAACATTCTCCTCTTATAAGTAGGCCATATGATTGTAAAATATATAATAAAAATAACCCCAAACCTCAAGACACCTTGTGAGAATGTCATAAAAAACCAATACCAAATAAATTACTCATAAATAAAATTCAATGATGTTTCTTGTTGTTATACAGGGAAACCACATTAGAAGATATAAGAAATAAAGAACTATAAAAAATAGATCCAATGACAATCAAACCTAGACTGGTTATTTTCCTGATTTATGTCACTATTTATTACAAATCAAATGCTTAGTCCAGCTTAAATCTGCAAGAGTCATAAAGGAAATCCAAGTACATTTTCAGACTATGGTCCTCCTGGGCTATAACATTAACTATTCACAGAAGAAAATGGAATAATCAGACTTCATAGTTTTAATTCCTTTGATCTCTACTGTACATACATTCCAATGGGGTGATTATTCTAATCACAATGGTCAACAACAAATTAGTTCATTTAAAAATTCTATGCTAACAAAGGACTGAATTCAATGCTAAATTCTTAAATGACGGTTTGCATGATGTAATATAGGTTCAAATTCAGTCTTAAGTGCAGGTAGAATAGGAGTAGTAGGAGGACATGATGGAAAGGCACAGAACGAACCAAGTTCTATACACAAATTCTCACTGTGATTCCCTTTCAGGGGCACAATCCTTAGAGATGCAACCTGAGTTCTTTTGTGATAAATAAGAAGCTAAGCTTGAGGTCCTGAATTTCTAATGCCATGAAAAAACATAAATTTCAACAATCCATATATCCAATCTGTAATTTTTCTAGAGAAAAGCTAATATATCTTAGTGCTTTTACCCAATTCTGCACAATATCTTGTAAAATTTAAATATCTAGAGGAGCCTAGGTGGTAAAGTCGGTTAATCATCCAACTCTTGGTTTCAGCTAGGTTGTGATCTCAGGGTTGTGAGATCAAACCACATGTCAGGCTCCGTGCTTAGTGCAGAGTCTGCTTACAGTTTCCCTCTCCCTCTCCCTCTGCTCCCCCTCTCCGCTACCTGCCCCCCCACTCACACACACACACTCTCTCTCTTTCTCTCTCTAAAATAAATAAATAAATCTTTTAAAAAATGTAAATAGCTATTCTTTGGGTCTCCTACTATGCTAACCCTCCAACTAGTTTGTGGGAATTTTTTTTTAAAATGAGGAGACTTGGGGCACCTGGGTGGTTCACTCGGTTAAGCGTCTGCCTTCGGCTCAGGTCATGATCCCGGGGTCCTGGGATGGAGTCTCACTTTGGGCTCTGCTCAGTGGGGAGTCTGCTTCTCCCTCTCCCTCTGCCTCTGTCTCTCCCCCCAGCTTGTATGCTCTCATGCTCTCTCTCTCTCAAATAAATAGAATATATTTAGAAAAAATAGAATATATTTATTATAGAAATATAACACCTGGTGAGCAGGGCCCTCCCTGCAGTGGGTGGTGTACCCCAGCCCTTGAGGCCTCTGGGTGGGCTGCAACACCTGGTATGTGGCTGGGGGCGGGGGAAGGAGGAGGGCTTGAAAAATATAGAATATATTTATTTAAAAAATGAGGAGACTTGATCTGTAACTCTCTGTATACTCCTGTATCTCTCTGGTTTCTGCTGGTACCACTATACCCTGACTCACTCGACTGCAGCCCCATTGCTTTCCTATTGCTCCTGAATATGTTAACCATGCTCCTTCCTCAGGATCCTGGCACTTAATTTTCCTCTGCCTAGAATGTTCTTCCCTCAATGATCTAAGTGGCTCATTCTCACAGTTCCTTTTGGAACTTACTTGAAAACTCTGTCTTAATGTCTACACAGTAGTTATCGACACTTAATTCTAATACAGACATACAATTTTATTTATTAATTATTCCCCTCTACTATAATCTAAGTCCATGAGGCCAGAACCTTTGTTTTGTCCACTGCTCTAATGCCAGAAACTAGACAAGTACTTAGCCTGTACTAGGCACTCAACAAATAGTAAATGTATGAAGAAGAAAAAAGACTAGAAAGAGCAGCTGCTTTCCCTCTAGTAGTCAAAGTGGATTTGATGTACCTAGAATGAAAGAAATGTTTTGCCTGATCCTCTGGACTTTGTGTATGTGCTTTCTCATCCAATAAAAGATACACTTTCTGGTAATAGACTTCCCATCCTCTCGAAATTTAAGAACATAGGAAAGAGTTATAAGATAAATTTAACCCAATACTTACTGAGTACAGTGAGCACGTTAATGAAAAATTTCCAAGCTAACAAAGTTGTGCTTATTTTGCTGACAATTCTACATACATCTCTTTCATTGTGTTTTGTTTTGTTTTGTTTCTGAACACAAAAGAGTGTCCATACAACCAAGACCTCTGTTTTCTTATAAGTTCACTCTCTACTGGATGATAAACAGAGTCAGAGTCCCTAAGATCATTGCCTCAGTAAATAATCGTTGCACATGAAATATAGGATTGTTGGAAATAACAATTGGGGCAG